GAGCGGCGGGGCCGGGCCGGGCGGGGGCCCAGCCAGCTGAGGGGCCGGGCCGGGCCGTGGGGCGGCCCGCGTGGAGCACGGCCTCCTCCGGGATAACGGAGCAGCCGGGGAACTGCCGTGGGGAAAGTGAAATTAAATTATGGGTGGGTGGGCCGATAGAAACTGGCCTTGGGTGCTGCTTGTGGCCCCACCTCGCTCCTCCCTCACGGGAAGAGCAGGAAAGCATGAGGGAATTAATCTCCATTTGCCCCTGTTGTGATGCTGGGGAGCTGCATCGGCGTGGCAAAGCCCCTGTGCAACAGGCAGGGTGGGAACTCGCCTCACAAATTGGAGAATAGTTGAAGAGCATGAATTGAATAATCCCCGTGGTGTTGGGGATGCATTTTGTGTGACAGACCTGAGCAGTTCACGGTGGGTCTGGAGGGTGAAAAAGGCCTCTGACCCTTCATGCAGCTGGCAGCTCCAGCAGTGGGTAATGAAAGCTAATTACTGCTGTTTAAGTTATGCTCACAACATAACCTGATGCTGCTCAGCTAGAAAACATCTTTACTGGCAGTGAAAAGAGAGAACTGGCCTCTGCATCACCCACAAACAGGTTCATTTATTTATTATGGTTTTAGAACTGGGGAGGCAGCAAGAGTTAATTTTGTACAAGGTTTTTAGCCCAGTGAGCTCTGAGCTGGCTTGGAAACCTCCTCAGGGAGCTGCTCCAGCTCCCGAGGGTGGAAGGGAGCTTGGGAGGGAGGACGTGGTGCAACTTTGCACCACGCTGTCATTTCCTAAGTCCTGAAAAATGTAAGCAAATTTATCCTGCAGCCCTTTTATGGAGTCAGTTCCAGACTGCCTGTAAGAGCTCGGATTCTTCTCAGTGCAGGAAGTTAGGAGGACACAGGCAGCTTCAGATGGGGGCAGTCTGAAGGAGAAGTGTTTGTAGTGTTTTTTATGGGGCACTTGCAAGCTGTGTGAATTGTAGGTGTGGCTGGGAGAGCTCTGCAGTGGAGAAGAAACAGAAATGGGATGAGTGAGGTGGTGCAAATGCTCATTCCCCTGCCCTGGAGAGGCAGGAGAGGTGCTGGGAGCTGCTGTGGGTTCATTTTCTGCTCCTTTGCTGCCCTGGCAGTGGTGTAACTGCAGAAATAAGAGTGTGACATAGGAGACACATGTTTCTCCTCCTGAGAGCACCAGCATGACCCAGACTTCATGTGAAAAATGGGGATTTGTCCCCAGTTGCAGTTCTGCTTGCTGTTTCCCCACATGGGCTGGGCAAAATGCTGCTTCAAAACCACCTGCAGAGGTGAGGAGCAGTGTTGGGAGCTCCCCATGTGTGGAGACACGAGCCTTGACTCCATTTTCAGAAGGCTGGTTTATTATCTTATGATACATATTATATTAAAATACTACATTAAAATGATATTAAAATAACAGAGAGAAAAGATTGATCAGATAGGAAGAACAAGAATAGAATGCATAACAAAATCTTGTGACTGCTCACAGCCTCAGCACAGGTGAAAATGACATCAAGTGAAAACAATCCACATGGAGCAATGAAAAATGAACCTGTTGCATTCCACAGCAGCAGATAGTTGTTGTTTAATTCCTTTCCTGAGGCTCCTCAGCTTCCCAGGAGGGAAAAACCCTGGCAAAGGATTTTTTATAAAATGCCATAGCTGCAGAGCAGGAGAGTGAAGGCAGCAGGGGCTCCCCGTGCCACCCTGGGGCTTTGCTGTGCAGATGGTGCTGATCCCAGGAGGGGTGTTCACCATGGGCACCCAGGAGCCTCAGATCCAGCAGGATGGAGAGGGCCCTGCCCGCAGAGTGCACCTTGGCAGCTTCTACATGGACCAGTACGAGGTCAGCAACCTGGACTTCGAGAGCTTTGTCAACTCCACGGGCTACGTCACCGAGGTGAGGCACCAGGGCTCCTCCCAGCTGGGACCATCCCAGCTGGAAACCAGCCTGGCCTTTTGGGGTGTCACAGCACTCGTTTGGGATTTGCACGCTCCAGTGTTTCTGGGGAGGTGGTGGGGAGAAGGAATTGTCTGGCCCTGCTGTCCTGGCTGGAAGGGCAGTGGGGTTTTTGTTGTTGTTGTGTTTAATAATTGCCAGCTGAGCCTGGTGAGGCCAGCAGGTCCTACAGGGGGTTTTGGGGTGGTTTGCTTGGGTTTTTTTTTTTTTGATATTTGGGTCCTGGAGCTCTTTGTAGCAGGTTAGATTTTCCTTGGTTTAGAAAATCCCGGGGAAGGGATGTAACAGACTGAGATGGCCAGGGCCTCTGCAGGCTGGCCCAGCACAGCTCTGTGCTCTGCCAGAGAGCCTCAGGAGGAGACAGCAGCAGCTGCAGTGCAGTGCTGTGCCTGTTCCTGGGAACAGTGCAACAGGAACATGCTGAGGTGCCTCCCAGGAAGGGCCCCTGTGCCTGAAGCTCAGATCCCTCCTGGCAGTGACTGTTCTAGCAGCTGTGACAAACCTGCCAGCCCTGCAGGAGAGGAGCCTGGGTGAGGAGCAGCTCTCAGAGGAGGCACTTTGCTGAATCCACTGCATGAGCTGGGCCTCATTTGGAAGGCACGATCCTCTGGTTGGATGAAGAGCTTCTTTTGTCTGCTATTTCTGTTTCTTAGCTCCATAATTATGAAAAAAAAAAGGGGAGGTTTAACTATGTTGAGTTGGAACAAAACTTGCCTGCTGCAAACAGCTTCTGGGATGAGCACGTGTGTGGTGGGCTCAGTGTGGAATCACAGAATATCCTCAGCTGGAAGAGGGCACAAGGATCATCAGGTCCAACCCCTGGCTCTGCACAGACACCCAGCAGTCCCACCCTGTGCCTGAGAGATATCCAAGTGTTCCTGGAGCCCTGGCAGGTAGAACTGCATCTGCTGCAGACCCCATGGCTCAGCTGGTGTCACTGAGTGCTCCACTTACACCTCCTCCCTTTTTTTCCTCTTGGTGTAATGTACTGTGATTGAGCAAAACTATTTGTATTATTTATTCTTTTGGATTGCTATAGTGCTAGATACAATGATTGAGTTACTTTTAACTCTTTATTGTTGTAGCAGCAATTTAAAACATGGTACTGGTGATGGTGGAGCAGTAAGTGACAAGGTTCAAGTCTTTTATTGTGCTTCCCAAAGGAAAAATAAGAGGAATGAAACATGGCCTTTCATATTAGACTGATGAGTGTAGCATTTGAAAGCAGTTGGGACAATCAGAACTGCATTTTTAATTAATAAAAGTAAAAACATGTGCAGAAGCTCAGGGAGCTGCCATCTGCCCAGTGGCTGCTGAACAAAAACAACATCCAGAGAAAAAAATCCCTTCTTTTCTGTTGCAAAACAGCTTCCTTGAAAGAGAACTCAAATTCATGGTGAATTTGTTTGGTCAAAGGTTGGACTTGATGGCCTTGGAGGGGTTTTCCACCTTAATGATTCTCTGAATTTTCTTATCCTTGATTAAATGAAGCTGTAAATGTTGAGTGTGGTTCCAAGAATAGCACTCCTTTGATGACATAATGCTTGAATCCTTTGTTCTTCCCACAGGCAGAGAAGTTTGGTGACTCTTTTGTGTTTGAGGGGCTGCTGAGCGAGGCAGTGAAGGCTGACATCCACCAAGCAGTGAGTAGCACAGCAGGGGAAGCTCCCTGAGCAATCCCTGGGCTCTGTTGGCAATCACAGCAGGAAAACTGAACTCTGATGTCCCCAAAGCCAGCTGCAAAAATGGGGATTGTGGAGAGGTGTTTGGCCAGGAATCATGGACTGAAGTGGGGAGGATTTGCAATCTGTTCTGTCCTTTTTCTTAAAAAAACAGTTAAAAACATCAATTCCTGATGAGCAGAAGTTGGTATCAACCCATTGTCTCTTTTTGCCCCCTACCTGAGAAGTTCAGACTGAGTCTGTAGATTCCTTATGTTGTGAATGGCTGGAGTTTATGATGTTTCCTCCTCTCTAGAGGATCCTGTGTTCATTTGCTGCTTTTCCAGCTCCCCTCATCCCCCTGGGCACCAATGATCCTGGGAGGGGCAGTGCTGACTCCTCTGGAGCTGATCCAGGTTTCCTGTGGAGTGAAAGTGAATATTGGTTTAAAAAGAAAGAAATTTCTGTAATAAATCTTCCTTTCCCTCCCTTCCCACTTTTTTTTTTGTTGTGAATATATTGCTGGCCCCTCCTCAGGCTTCATTTACCTCCTCCTTAGCAGGTCAGGTCCCCTTTGCAGCTCTTGGCAGATAAGCAGATTGTGTCCTGTCATCTCCTGGACGAGTTGATCTGCTCTGAGCACAGGTTTGGACAAAATCACCTCCTGAGTGGTTCCTGTCAGAACTATCCTCAGCTCTGAAGGGGCACAGTTTGCTTTTGGTTTCCAAGGGGCAGCCTGAGAGCTTTCAGGAAGCCCTGAGTGAGTGTGTGCTGGGAGGGACTGGCAGAGAACGTGGGATTTGGGTTCCTGCTGCCAGGGAAGGAAGATTACAAGTGCAGTTTGTAATCTTTTAATTCAGGACTAGCACTTGTGCACTGGGAGAGATAAGGCTAAATTGCAGTTCCCACCACCAGCATAACTGATGCTAAATCCATCCTTGGATTTGTTCTGCCTTCAGAAAAATAAAAACAAATACAAATAAAAAAATGAGTGGCTCCTCCCACCTTCCCAACAGTCAGTATTGGAGAAATTCTTTTTCCTGTGCAGTTCTGTGCTGCAGAAATCCCTGAATGAGTTTCTGTGTTTTAAAACAAACAAACAAACCCCAAGAATGCTGCTGTAAGCTCAGCCTTGGCAATTTTGTAAACACACAGTGTTGGGAGCCACTTTCCTGAGTGTGTCAGCCAAATTTGCAAGAGTTGGCTGCAGTGCTCACAGGACAAGTGTGATGCCAGGGGCCTGGGATGGAGCCCAAACTGGTCTTTTTTGGCTGCTGCTTTGTGAAGGTTTTCTGGAGCTGTTAAAAGTAAACTTGCTGTTAAAAGTCACCTTCTTCAATCATAAATATCAGTCAAAAAGCAGAAATAAAGTGTAAATATTGGTGTGTTACTGGCACTGCAAATCCCTCCAGCCAACCAGTGGGAGAGAGAGGATTGTGGTTTTCCTGTGCCTCAGTGGCTCAGGAGTGTTTTGACAAAGATTTTCTCCAGATGAAGCCCAGGGATGTGAAATGTAAATGTGAATATGGGGGAAGAGTAACAGGAATGTAAATTTTTAAAGCAGTATTTCACACACTGTGAAATAACTGGGAAAGGTGAAAGTGGAGGTTCCAAACTAAATAATTTAGAAATGATGAGCTGTGTGTCTGTTGGGGGTTCTGCTCTGTTTGGCCACTTTGTCTTCTCCAGTTCTTAAAGCAGATTTATCAGAGCCTCAAAGGCACTGGCTGAGGGCAGAGCTGGGGCTGCTGAGGAGTGCCCCAGCTGAGCTGCAGGGTGATTGTTGGAGCTCTGGGTGTGCCTTTCCTGGAGGTGAGGTGGGCTCCCAGATAGCCACTGACAGGAATGTGGGCTGGCCTCAGCCTCTGGAAGGGAAGCAGTAAAAAGGGGTGTAGCAGCCAAGGATCAATTGTTGCAGATTTCTGGGAACTTGGGTTTTAGTTTTGGCCTCCAAGTTTGTGGTGGTCATGTGGCTGAGGGAGGATTTAGTGCTGTGCCAGATGAGGGAGTTACTGATGGAACTGGGGAGGGCTCCTTCAAATGGAAAAGGATTTTGTGGGGTCAGGGGAGGGAAGGTCTTTTGAAGCTGAAATTATTTGTGTGGGCTTAAAAATTATGAGAGCTTCACATCTTAAATTCTTCATATGCAGCCTGGAGAGACCTTGGAGCCCATTCCAGGGCCTAAAGGAGCTCCAGAAAAGCTGGAAGAGGACTTTGGAAAGGGACAGGACAAGAAGAATGGCTCCCACTGCCAGAGGGCAGGGCTGGATGGGATATTGGGATGGAATTGTTCCCTGGCAGGGTGGGCAGGCCCTGGCACAGGGTCCCCAGAGCAGCTGTGGCTGCCCCTGGATCCCTGGCAGTGCCCAAGGCCAGGCTGGGCACTGGAGCTTGGTGACACCTGGGACAGTAGAAGGTGTCCATGGCCATGGGGGTGGGACTGGGTGGGCTTTGAGGTCCTTCCAACCCAAACCATTCCATAATTCCATTTCATTCTGAGGGGTTTGAGAGCCCTTGCCAATCCCTGCAGGAGTTTGCTGCCCAGGTACCATGGAAAAGGGAACCAGGATGGCACAGCAGGAGTGCAGCCTCAGTCTTTGCTCAGAGTAGTGGGGACGTTGTTATTCTTGGTTTGTGGAGGGCAGAAAAATTAATTTTTGCTTCAACACCAGATAAATTCTGCACTGAAGAGGCTGCGAGCATACAAATGTGTGCTGCCTTTGTCTGTGAGGGTATGGAATTTTGGTCTGCAATGCAATGGAGTTGGCTCACTGGCAGCTCAAGCCAGCCCTGAGTTCTGGCCAGCCCAGAGCTGTGGGATGCTGCTTTCATCCCTGTTTGTCTGGAAATCTCTGCAGTGGCCTGCAGCTGTGCAATTTGCCAGTTTCACAATAACCCCAAATGGAAACATTCTGCATTTCAGCTGAACATGCCAGGCTGCTGCTGGGAGCAGCCCTGGCTGCAGGTGGGCCAGCAGTGCCAGTGTGGGCAGGGTGAGCTGTTCTGCAGCCCCCAGTGCTTCAGCTGCTCCCTGCAGGGAGCTGCAAGATGGAGCTGTTGAAGTGTTCCTCTGTGGGTTTTTGTGCTCTACTCCCACTGCTGGGATAAAGAAGGATGTGCTGGAATTCTCCCTGGGAATTGCCAGGAACATCAGCCTGTGTTATCAGAGCTGCAGTTTGAAGCAGGGCATGCTTTGTGCCTCAGGATAAATCCGTGCACGTCTCCTCTCCTTACAGCTCCTGTGCATTTGGTTAGTGGAAAAAATGACCAGTTGGAGTGCAGATTTAGATGTTGGCTGGAAATCAGACTTCCAGAGGTGTCTGCCTTCACCAGGAATATCAGTTCCTCAAAAGAAGCTTCTTCTGATTCCAAAACTTGCACTTAATGAATCTGACTGGATTTTAGCATCACGTATTTGTGGTTATTTTTCTTGGAGGATGGACAGGGCTGTGAAGTTTTACACTGTCTGAAGTTCAGTGACCTTTCCTTATGCAAAGAAAAAATCCCTTCCTAAAAGTGCTTGTTTCCAATCAAGTCTGAAATATTTTTTTGCAGTTGATGACTTACAAAGTAAAATTAAATATCTTTTAAAGCTGCTGCCTTTCCTCGGTGTGCAGTTTCAAACTGCTGTAAAATACGGATTTTAAGGCAGAGAATATTCAATATTAAACAAACCCCCTTGTTCCTTCCCTTTCTGAGCTCATGAGGGAGGCCAGTAACATTAGAAATAAAGAGTGAGAACAGATTCTTCTGTAATTAGAGCTTTGGGGGAGCTGGGACTTTTAATTGATAGAATAAATAGCATGGGAATTGCAGGAGCTGGCACAACCAGGTATTCACAGACTCCTGGAAGGAGATGCTCTAGTCCAGCCCCTGATGCAGGTGTGAGCTGCCTGCTGGACAAATCCTCTGCTCACTGTGAGTTTGGGTTTGTGTGTGGCAGGACTTCCCCATCCTGGCTCAGCCCTTGGCCATAATTACAGCAGGTTTGTTTTCTGTGGGGACAATGCAGTGGATCCCTTGCACAGTAATTATTTTTATTTCTTCAACTTCTCACCCTACTAAAAATATTCCATTTTCTGTCTACCTCTTTCCTCAGTAGTTCATTAATCAGTGCTCAAGGTTTAGGATCTGGCTTAGAAGAGGAAGAGCTGTCAGAGATTTATGTGTATGTGCCTGACATGAATAAAATAAAGCCTCATCCAAAAATTATGTTCTTTACTGAATAACAAATTTTTCCTCACGTCCTACCAATGCTAACAAGATCCTTTTGCATTTTAAAGATGTACAGTGCTCAACACCATCTGATTGAAACAAGTGGTAACCTATTAAGTCAGCTTCTGAACTGGAGTGGTTTTTTAAGAATCCACCACTTAATAAATGATTCTTCAAGTGGTTTCCAGACTTTCACTCAAAATCTCTTTTCACACAGTTAATTCTGAAGTTCTTGCCCTGCAGTCACTTTTGGTTTTTTCCAGCTGTTTATTCTGTCTGGTGTAAGGCTTTTAAAATATTTTATTAAAATAGCATTGGAATGCTGTAGCACAAAAAAAGCTGATGTTTGGTGCTGTATGACTGGACAGCAGCACGAATTTGTCATCATCCTGTGGGCCTGCCTTAAGGTTCAAATCCACAGCTTTGTTATTTCAGGGACTTGCTACTTGATGGAAATGTCGGAGCCCGAGCCAAGATGAGCTCCTCTGTTGAGTTTATTTTTGGTAAATTTTCGGATACATAAATCTGATTTGAATTTGAGATTTGCTCCTCAAGTGGGGGTTGTTTTTCTCTCAAACGTGTCACAGGTTAGTGCAAGAATAATAAATGCTTTTATGGCTTTGGGGTGGTTTTTAGGGTACTCCCCTACTGCAGCAACAGGGTGATGCTGACAAGGAAAGTCACTTGGTGATGTTCCCCACTCTACTTTTCTTTTCTACTTGGATTTAGGAAGGAATTTTCTTCAAGCTAATTGTGAAGTAGTTAAAAAAAACTTGACATTGTGAGGTAATGGAGCAATTAAAGTTAGGCTGTCCCAGCCCACTTGGAAAGGAAAATGGAATAGTTGGGAGGAGAGTTTTGGGCTGTTAGTGGGAGCTCAGGCTCCAGCTCTGCAAATTGCTCCACCCAGAGCAAAGCTCGTGGGCTGGAATTAATTGTTCAAGCTCTTCCCAGAGTTAGCACTCTGGGCTTTCTTTCCACAGCTCTCTGGGTCTGCAAGAAGCAGAACAGGGAGTTCTTAAGGTTTAATCCTGGAGGGGAGAGCAGGATAATCCCCTTTTCCAGCTGGGTCAGACCAAACCAAGCCTCTGGTTTGCTCTGGGAACGTTCCCCTGGGCACCAGGGTGTAAGGATTGCAGGGCAGGTGAGGGTAACCTGGCACAGGTGACATGCTGCAAGAATTAACCAGAAGGAGGGGGATTGTCCTCTGAGTCAGGATCTGTTCAGCAGCATCTGCTGCTACTGGGACAGCAGGAATCTGTTGCCAGTGCACAGAACATGCTTTGGAGGGAAGCAGAACGTGAAGTGTTATGGAAGTAACTAAGCTGATTATTGGCAAGGGAGGACTTGGCTGTATTAACTGTGATGTTGTAATAGCTCAGTCTAATTAGCTCTTCTGCTAATTAGATTTAGAGCAATTAAAAGCTTTAAAGACTTGTGAGAAGTTCTGGGAGAGAACTGTGGAGTTCAGGTAGGAGATTTCTGGAGGGTGTGTTCAGTGGAGCCAGGGGCTGCCTTAGATGAGTCTCCAGGTAATTCCTGCAGGTTCTCCGCCTGCTATCCCTGTCCCAGCACTGGATGTGCTGGCTCTGGGTGCTCTGCAGAGCCTGGCAGCCATTTGGTGCTCAGCTCAGCAGAGCCACAGCCGGGAGCTGTGCACACGCAGTGCTTTCCTGTGGAGAGACATTTTTCTTGGGTTAAAATAAACCAGCCTGATTGAAAGCATCTGCTTTTTCTTTTGCATCACAAAAATGTTTTCCAAAATTAAAGTTGTCTAAAGTGTAAATCTTTGCAGTCTCCTGCGGAGATGTTTTTATCCAAAACCCAGCAGTTTAATTTACAAAAATATGTTGTACTTAGAAACTGTCGAAATCTTTCTTGTGATCTTGCAGATTTTAGCTTTAGCAAGTGGTTCTGCTGCTCTTTTATTTTCCTTAAATAGCTGTAAAATGCTAATTTTGGATTTCTGTCCTATTTTCAGTGTAGTTTAAAGGTCAAACCTCAGTATGGGAAAGGAACTGGTTAAATGGGACTCACTTTATGCCTCTTGACTGTTGTATCAGTTTAGCAGCCCCATCACTCTGAAGCTTCAGTGCTGGGAGAGTTGAGCAGAGTGTCTGCAGGAAGGGCTCATTTTGGGGTTTGAATGCTCAGTAACAGAGCTGTAATCCCTGTGAGAGATCAGCTGTTTCTCGTGCTTTTTGCCAAGGGTGGTGGCTCTGCTTGGGGTGAGGATGTCCTTTGTCAGACACCGAGCCAGAACTGGGGTTGGTGTTGTTGGCTGATGTTCTTGTCGTGCTGGGGAGGGCAGCGAGGGTCTGTGAGAGCTGTCATGGCCTGGGGGTCCCACTGAGGGGGACAGCAGAGGACACAGTCAGGCTGCTGGGAGCATCTTTGTTTCTTTGTGCCTGCCACTCAGCTGTTCCCTTTGGAAGGGAGGGTGTCCACTCTGTGTGTGAGCACCTTCCCAGCCTGGAGCAGCCCTGCAGCCTCCTCAGGCATTTCACAGCCCTTCCCCAGGGCTCTCCAAAGCTCTGGGCTCTGCAGCTGTGCTGGAGCAGCAGCTCTGCAGCTTTGGTCCGGGATTGCTGTTGATTTCCAGGGAGCTTTTCAATACCCAGATGTGCTGTAGGCAAAATCTGTGTGTGCTGAGAGGGAAAGGCTGTCAGGGAGTGCCAGCACAGCCTGATGAGGCTCTAAACCCAGGATAATGTGTGTTTGGGCACTTGCTACTGAAATCTCCACCTGAGTGATTTGATGTGCAGCTTGGACCAGAGTTTCCTGGACAATCTCTGTGTGCCGTGGATAATCTTCTGTCCCACACACGTGTAATTGCACGTTCTGTTGAAGGATGCAGCTTCCCCCTAGAAGCTGCTGTTAAAATTGTTTGACCAGACTGATTCTAGGTCTCCTCAACACCAGCTTGCAGTGACTTTTTGGACTTTGCTCTGAAGGTTTGGTGAGTTAAAGGGTAACGTTCTTGGCACCTTTCCTACCTCTGTGAATTAACATTTGACAAAGGCAGTCTAGGACTAACCAGCCTCTGGCTTGTTTACCTCCTAAAGCATTCCAGGCTTATTTTCTCTGATTTTTGTTTTTTATAGACATTATCTCTGTAATAGGAGTATTTTGGAAGCTGCTGGAATAAACCCACAGTTGATGGGTGGCATAAATGTTCCTTTCTTTGCCTCAGTGAAGGCCCCATCATTCAAATAAGTATTTCTAAGTGAATATGAATCAGAACAGTTAAGCATTCCTTTGAAGCAAGCCTTATAGAAGAAATCCCTAAAGAATGTCTTCCAGGAAAAGTTCCTTGGCGTTGAAGCACCAAATTTGGGATTTCTAGTTTGAGAGAACTGCTCAGTGCCTGCATTGCTACAGATGATTTTGGCTGGGTGATGTTTCCCAGCAAACCAGCTGGGAAAAAAAAAAAAAAAAGAGAAAGGCTTCATGCTTCACTTCCCTTGTGTGGTTCTTCTGTCTCCACCTTCTGGAAGCTGAGAGCAAATAATTTAAAATCAGCTGAGTGGGTTAATGACCTGGAAAGCAAATGTGTTGCAAGATGAGTGTTTGACCCCCAGCTAAAGGGCATCATTGGGGGGTTATTTCAGTGATGTCAAAACACTGAGGCCAGGGAGCAAACAATAAAGGTGAAAATGCTCTTTAGGCCAAAATCTTTTTTTTTTTTCCCTCTCTGAAGATGGTATCAGACTGAAGTCAGGCAGGGATTATTTCAGTGATGTCAAAACACTGAGGCCAGGGAGCAAATAATAAAGGTGAAAATGCTCTTTAAGCCAAAATCATATTTTTTTTTCCTCTCTGAAGATTGTATCAGACTGAAGTCAGGCAGGGGCTGAAATTCACACAGGCACAAACTGGTTTGGGTTGGTTGGGATTCTGATTTTTCAGAAAATCTCTTAGCTGGGAACTGAAGTGTCCTTCCCTGCTGCTCTTGTCCTTTTTCAGGTGGCAGCTGCTCCCTGGTGGTTGCCTGTGAAAGGAGCCAGCTGGAGGCACCCTGAGGGCCCTGACTCCAACATCTCCAGCAGGTGAGCCATGAGCACCCATTCCATCAGAAACCACAGGGAATAATATCCCTGTGGCTCCCACCAGGAATGGGCTGCAGGAAAGGCCTTTTATTCAGTCACCTGTTGGCTGCTGCTGCTTCTGGGACTGTTCTCCCACCTCTGATGAGTTGCATGCAGAATTCCATGGTGAGTGATGGAGAGCACAAAGGTCTGTCAGGACGTGCTGATTGAGCCTCAGTGTTTGCTGTTCATTTCTGTGTGCCAGCAGGGGAGCACAGCAGATCTCCCCAGGGGCACCAGCTCCACACCTGGGTTTGGACAGGAGGAATCAATCCTCACTGTGTGAGAGGAGGAATCAATCCACACTCCAGGAGTCTGGGCAGTGTGGACTCTTCCATGTGGCATTTGGAAGCCTCCTTCTCAGGCAACAGAATTCTGAGGAGTTTTGTGCATTTTTCACTGTATTCTGACTGTGTGAAAAATCAGTTGTGACTACATAGAACCTCTGAATACTTTGGAAAACTCTGCTTTTTCTTACAGTTAGTGCCACGCTTTGCTTGCACAAACCCTGAAACTTGCTGATCCTTGTCTTCATACAATTGCTTTCCATTCTGAAGTGGGATGAATTTTAGGCCTAGCAAATCAAATTGCTGTCTTCATTTGGGACCTCTAACATTGCAGCTGCTCCTCTGACTAGGAAGGTGTCAATGAAGTTGGCACTTCATCAGCTAGTGAAAGTTTCTGACAGCATTTTGAAATCAAATCAGACTCTCTAGCCTAGATCTAGTAGGTTTTTGAGTCCTCTAAGGACAGGACTTTGTTAGTGCACCATCATCTGATGGCTGAAGTGCTCAGTAACGAGTTATCTGCTCTCCAAGGGCAAGGAAAGAATTATCTGAGGCAAAAATAGAGATAATAGCTGGAGGCATTGTTAGGGGGAGCCAGGAATTGAGGTCAGAGCCAGCAGACAGGAGCTGGAAACCTGCCATGAAATTCTGGGCTGGCACAGCTGCTGGGAACCTGCCACGTGGAAGTGGCCCCAGGCTTCACAGGGATACACTGGATTCTTAAATGGGGCAGGAAGAGAAGTTGATAGGAAGTTCCTGTCTCTCCTGGACCCTCAGCTCTGGGAGCATCTTGGTCTGTTGGAGGCTTGGATGGGGAGGATCCTTCTGCAAGAATGGCTGGGCATTTTTTTGTATCTTTTTCTGGAGAAAGAGACAAGGATTTTAATGTCAGTCCTGGAACCAAACCCCATTAAAGACAGGAGCTCTTGTGTAAACTGTGGACTGCTTAAAGCACCCAAGGAAAATCACTTCCCAGCTCAATTTCTGCAGTTCAGTTTCCTGGACAGGGTGCTGCAAAAGCTGAGAGAGTTGGTAAGACTCTTCCTCATGTCACCTCTCCCTCAAAGCCCCACAGCTGACAGCAGGGACAGGACCCAGAGCAGGAGAGGAGCCACAGGGGAGGCAAGAACAGTCACCATTCAATTGCCATGTGCATTTCCCTGTTGAGAATCCTGCCTTGTGGCTGAGATGGCCCTTGCCAGGCTGCTTTGATGCCAGATGCCCTGTGCCAGGCTGGTTTGGCTGTGGTGATGCTGCAGGTTTTCAGTGCTTTCCTTTGGCTCTGCAAACACCCAGGTTCCCCCAGAGGGCAGGGTATGGACAGTCCTGGGTGCTGCACTTGAGGAACCACAACCCATAAATAACTGGAGAGCTGGAGGTGGCAGCAACACCAGACAAACAGAAGTTAATTATTTTCTCCTCCTGTTTCCCTCTGATGGCTGCATTTCCCTTCCAGCATTTTTTTCCTTAAGTAACTTTCCTGTAAAGTCACCTGGTGCAGCTGTAACGTGTCAGTCCTGGGTGTCACACTGTGCCTGGTGCCCTGAGGAGCCTGTCCTGCTCATTTTGTTCCCAGAATGGACCATCCAGTCCTTCATGTTTCCTGGAATGATGCCGTGGCCTTCTGCACGTGGGCAGGGAAGCGGCTGCCGACGGAGGCTGAGTGGGAGTACAGCTGCAGAGGGGGCCTGGAAAACAGGTACAGTCCAGGGGAGCTGGGCTTGGCAGGGGTTTGTTACCCCCAGAACCACTCTGCAGCCAGGCTGGGAGAGCTGGGGGGGCTCACCTGGAGAGGAGAAGCTCCAGGGCCTGAAGGGGCTCCAGGAGAGGGGCTGGGGACAAGGGATGGAGGGACAGGACACAGGGAATGGCTTTAAACTTAAGGAGGGGAGGTTTAGATGGAGTATTAGGAAAAAGGTATTTATTGCAAGGGTGGGCAGGCCAGGGATGGAGGCAGCTGGATCCCTGGCAGTGCCCAAGGCCAGGTTGGACACTGGGGCTGGAGCAGCCTGGGACAGTGGGAGGTGTCCCTGCCATGGCAGGGTGGCACTGGATGGGATTTAAGGTCTCTCCCAACCCAAACCAGTCTGGGATTCTATATAACTGACTTTTAATTAACAGCTTTATTTGACAGCTGCTCTGTTTGTCTTTCCTCAGGCTTTTCCCATGGGGCAACAAACTGCAGCCCAAAGGGCAGCACTATGCCAATATCTGGCAGGGAGAATTCCCCACCAACAACACAGCAGAGGATGGCTACAAGGGGACTGCACCTGTAAGTGTGTCTCAAAGACAAGCCAGCATGTGGAAATGATCTTAATCTTCCTAAAATAAGGTCTGTCTTCAGGAGGATGAGCCATGGCTGTTTTCTATCCCTGTGCTCTTTCATTTTAGATTTTAAGTTACATTAAATTTCACTGCAGGCTTGAGCATTATCAAGGGACTCTTTTAGAAGCTAATTGAAAAGTAAAGATTACTTTCATTTTAACTTCTAGTTCCTCTCAAACTGACCTCTTTTTCCCCCTCCCAGTCAGTTTGTAGTCAGAAGTTGAAATACTTTGTGCCTGTGCTTGTGGCCTCACAGTTTTGTGAACTCAAAAATCACACAATAATTTAAAAGAAATTAAACTTCCCTTTTGGGGAAAGGTTGAGCCTGTCTAGTATAACAACCAGAGTGGAATTTTAAAGACAATCAAGAATGTGAATGAATTATTTAATGGTAGCTAAGTAAATCCAGAAGTTTCATCAGAAGAGGAGTCTGCAGAGGCAGGAGCTGGCAGCCACCTTGGCTTTTCCTTGGTGGGAGGGGAATCTGGGAGCTGTGAGTGTGCCAGGTGTGTCTGCTGCTCAAACAGTGCCTCTCTGGAGAGGCTCAGGCTCCAAAAGCAGCGAGGGGATGCTGTGTGACACTGGAGCAGGTGCTGGGGACACCGAGGTGAGCACGTCCATCCTGCTTGGTTTTCATGCAGCATGTACAGGTGTTCCAGGTCTGCACTGCTGCTCTGGTGCCTGCCTTTGGGGCTCCTCCAGGTGCCCCTGGAGCAGAGTGCTGTGAGGATTGCAGCCCTTTTGGGGTGTTACAGAGCTCTGTTCCCTGTCCTGTGCAGGTCTCTGCCTTTCCCCCCAATGCTTACGGCCTCTACAACATGGTGGGCAACGCCTGGGAGTGGACATCAGACTGGTGGGCTGTGCTCCACTCCCCCCAGGAGCTCCACAACCCTGTGAGTGTTTGCTTGGCACACCTCCAGAACCCCCTCTGGGACAGGGTCTCCTTGCTGTGCTGTGCTGTGCTGCTGGGGTGGGGGATTGGGAGCATCACAGCACAGCTCACCCATGCTGCAGTTGCAGTGCTCTGGTGCAGTTTTGGTGTTTGGTTAGTTCTTCACACCTGGTTAGCCATTGGACACTTCCAAACTGGCTGCCTATTACAGAAATCAAGAATTTGTGCAATGACTTCTTTAAAAAAAAGGAAGGATTTTAGTTCACTTGTGTTGCTACAAGCTGTACTTATTTTCCCCTCCCTCCAAACCACCATAAATTATCTTTCTGGCTTCTGGTAGCTTGTTTTGAACTGAACATGTGATAAAACTGAGGTTTAGGAGAAGTCACCAGGCTCTGAGAGGTGAATCTTTGTTTTCCTTTGTGGCAGGCAGATGGAGGTTCCTGCAGGTTCAGATGTGTGGGGTCACTGATGCTCTGTCTCAGCAGATTCCAGTTCCAGTGTTAGATCTGCTCCTCTCCCATATCCAGGATGAGTAAATCCCATAATTCTGAATATGACAAGTAAGGCCACGTAGTTTGTCACTCAAAGCCCCACCAAATACAGTGATTTTTATTTGCTAACAACTTACAAAGCACTTTCAGGTTTATTTTTACTCCTGGTAATTACTTGTGAAGGCAAGACAATCAATTATGGAGCCCCCCAACAATCTGTGTGCAGAATTCCATCCATTCCTTGTAGCCCATCCTCAGCATAGCTCATATCTTTCCAGTGTTAGAAAGCTGCTTTGCAGATTTTGTGTGTTAAACTAAATATGTTAAAAATCTTTGCCTGAGCTCTGACCCTCTGGAAGAATTCAGAGTCTTTTCAGCCCAGAGAACACATCCTATATTTAGGTTACACTGCCTTGTGCTCTGCAGAGACTGAAGAGCTGGGCTCTGATAGATCTGGTGCTAATCAGTTCTCATGTCTCAGAAGGTAACTGCAGCCTGGCTATTTTGGGACACCTTTTCACAGGAGGAGATGCAGTTTCTTTACCCATTTAACCAGAAAAACCCTTTGGAATTCACTTTGAAGTGCTCTGCCTCAGACACCGGATTCTGACAATCAGTTTGCATATGAAAAACCCCTGAAAGCCTCATTGTTAACACCTAGTTTTTAAATATTCCTCAAGTGTCTGGGTTTAAAACTTCAGCAAAGTCTTGGAGTTGAACAGAGCAAAATTCACAGGATAGTTGTTCCCCACCATCACCTTAATCCAGCAGGGAAGTTTTCCTGCCTTGGCATCATCAACACCAGAATGTCTCAAATAAATAATTACAATGAAGGTGCCTCACTGCAGTCACAGAATCCCAGAAGGGTTGGGGTTGGAAGGACCTCAAAGCCACCCAGGGCCACCCCTGCCATGGCAGGGACACCTCCCACTGTCCCAGCCCCAGTGTCCAGCCTGGCCCTGGGCACTGCCAGGGATCCAGGGGCAGCCACAGCTGCTCTGGGCACCTGTGCCAGGGCTGCCCACCCTCACAGGGAACAATTTCCTCCCTAAAAATGTAACTGATCCTTTAGCAGAGAGAGCCAAGTGTGTGTGTGAGGTACAATCAACCACAGTCCCATCAGGGGTTATTTTGTGGTGACTTCTGGCTCTGATTTTTTCTGTATGAGCTGCAGTTCTCTGTTTGAAAATTGATTTCTCTCCAGACAGAGTAACCATGTGGCTGTGCACTGCAAATCACCATGCACCATCAGAAAGAGTTTGTTTGATATAATCAAAGAAATACAACTTTATTTTCATTGACAAAAAAAACCAAACACTTCTGGGATTTTTTAGTAACTTTTCAAAGAACAATCCTACTTTTATGAGCTTTGATAATGGAATGCAGAAGCACTTATGTAATCAGACTGGAATATGGCTGTTTCAGTATTCTAGTACAGAATAACCTTGTTAATTTACAGTAAACTCTGGGGTTTAAATCTGGGATCAAAGTCTGGACAGCTGTGGCCCTTTGCACCAATGTCCTTCCCCTTCAGTACCAGCTGGTGCACTTCTCCAGGTCAGGCCATAAAACAGTGGTGTTGGATAGAACAGAGATCTGCTGGTTTTAATCAAATGTGACCTTAATTGCTGGGCTGTGATTAGCTTTTAGTGAGGGGAAGCACAGCCAAGGCAGTTTCCCTCATCTATCAGTGGGATCTATGCACAAGCAAATATTAACACTGCAAATGCTGCTGCTGATGTCTCTTGATTTTCTGATTTTCTGATATCTTTCCCAGTTGTTGTATGATAAACTCTTTACCTTCAGTGATTTGAAATAGGAGAATGATGTTTTATAATGGATCAGATTTATGGAGGACACTACAGCAGATTTCTGCAGGTGAGGTGTTTCAGGGCTGTAATCCTCCTTCAGAGGCAAGTCAGTGGGGTCAATTTAAGTTGGTTTTTGGTTATCAAATAACCTTTGATGCTCAGTTTCGGCCTGGTGGAAGATCTTTGTAGTTAATAAAAAGATGCACCCCTGAGCCTTTGGCTCACACACTGCTCAGTACAGGTCAGCCCTTTGTAACTGCTGACACATGACAGATTTAGGGCTTTTTAACCCTAACCAAAAATGTTCCTCTTCCTTTATAAAAATGTCTTTAGAGCCAGTTGCACAGATTGCTGCTCAGCCCTGCAGCATTTAGGGGAAATCCTGCTCCACAGCCCCATTGTTCTGCTTTGTCTTGTTCCCATGGAACTTTTTTTAGGTCAGTTTTCTCCTGGCTTCCCTTGAAATGAGATTACCAGGCTGGGTGATGACTGCTGGCTTATCTCAGAGCAGGGACTGTGCCTGCCCGTGCAGGTGTTGTGGGGACACTTTCCAGAGGCTGTGGGGAGCACCCAGCCTTGGAAGGAGCGGATGCTGCCTCAGGGTGTGGCTTTCCTGGAGGATTTGTGTGCCTTTAAATGCCAAATTCTTTTTCACACGTATAAATTTTGGCAGTAAACATAAAGCTGCTGCAGTTTGTGTGGTGGACTCTCACACAAAGCAGTCAAACTCAGGGGGTGCAGGCAGGAGCTTCTGGAGCACCAACATCAACTCTCAAGGTTTTCTGAGTCCCTGGCATTTATGTTCAGTTACAAATGCTCTTCTGGGGTAGATTCTTCTAGAACATCACCCCTGGTAATGCAGACCTGGTGGGAGACAACTGTAGCCCTTGAGACAGGGTAGGAGAGTGGGATCCATGGCAGGTGTGACCAGGGTGGTCACTGAGGAAAGCAGGAGCTCATTTCCTTCCTGGGAAAATCCTTTTTAGGAACCCCCCTGTTACCAGGCATTATCAGTGGGCAGCACCTAGGATGATAAATATTTAGCACAGCTCCTGTCACCTGCAAACCCTGTAGGGCAGAATTATTTCAAGCTGTCTGCTTCAGACACCACTGACTGGAATGTTTGTGATTGCTCCTTCCCCATCCCCTTACTCCTGTAACCAGCAGTTGTTCCCTGAGCACTGACCAGTGTCCTCCCTCCCCAGCAAGGGCCGTCCTCGGGCACGGACAGAGTGAAGAAGGGTGGATCCTACATGTGCCATAAGGTAACGTGCTCTTCTCGTGTTCCTCTTCCCTCTGAAAGCACTTCACCATGATCCTCTGACAGTTTCCTGCAGCCTGGATGCTTTGGGTTTCATGGGATTTATGAAGAGCAACACCTGATGTTCCTAAGGACCTCTTTTTGGTTAGCATGGAGTTAAAACAAGTTTTTAAATCAGTAGGAGTTTTAGATGCAGTACTTAAAATTGATGTAGGCTTCTAATGGTGTTTTCATGATAGAACTTGAGTGATACTTGCAGAGTGGAAAGTATGGATATGACTTTGTTTTTTTAAGTTTTAGAATGGCTTTTGATCCAGAAAGGATATGGAGCTCTGAGTAACCTGGTCTAGGGAAAGATGTTCCTGCCCAGGGCAGGGGGTTGGGACTGGATAAGCTTTAAGGGCCCTTCAGTCCCAAATCCTTTTACAATTCCACGGTTCAGTGATATCAGGTGTTTGCAGAGGTGGCTGAGGGATGAAGTGTTTGTTGGTAGCAGACCTGAAAATCCTTCAGAACTGGCAGGATGTCACCACAGAGTGATGGCTGTTCATGACACAAAACAGTGTTTTAAACTCTGCTCATGCAGTGCTTAAGAGCCCTCATTGTACATCTCCTGTTTCATTAAAGCTGTCCTGTTCTTCCCTTGCAAAGCCTGTGGCTGGCAAATCACTCTCATAATTAGATTAAATTTTCTACAGTGAGATCCCATTTTGTACACTGATTTCCTTCTTAGGTGAAATCAATGTCAGATGTTAATTAGCAGTTTTGATTAAATTAACACTGGAATAGGCTCTTCAGTGATGAATAACATGACCCATTTTGAAGGTTTGTGAAGATTCTAGTCTGCCCTAGTCTTTTTTTGTAGGTGATAAAACTAGGCTGTGTATCAAGACAAAGCCACTGACTGCTGTTAGTACAAGGGCCCTTTATTAGGTGCCTGACATCAGCTCAGACTGATTTTTGCTGGTGCTCTTCTCCCTCTCAGAGCTGACAGAGCCTGAAGCTGCACCTTTTTACATCCCATCCCAAAAGTCTGGCACCTCATTCAGGGAAATGTTCAGTACCTGTCCATTCCAGTGGGGCCTTAGCACATGGATACACAGCTCAGCCTCTGAGGGAGCGAATGTAGTTTTGGCTTTTTCCCAGAGCAGGGGAGATTCTTGGCTGACCCTTTATCAGACCCTTTGCCACTCAGTCCAGTTTTTGTGTCAGCTGGAGGCTGTGTAGGATTCCCTCACTTCTAACGCAGTGATTTCCATCCGTGGCTCTTCTCCCTCTCAGAGCTGACAGAGCCTGAAGCTGCACCTTTTTACATCCCATCCCAAAACTCTGGCACCTCATTCTAGAAAATGTACCTGTACATTCCAGTGGGGTCTTAGCACATGGATACACAGCTCAGCCTCTGAGGGGAAGCTGAATGGTGGTTTTGGCCTTTTCCCAGAGCAGGGGAGATTCTTGGCTGACCCTTTATCAGACCCTTTGCCACTCAGTCCAGTTTCTGTGTCAGCTGGAGGGTGGGTAGGATTCCCTCCTCTCTAACGCAGTGATTTCCATCTGTGGCACTTCATTGATCTGTCCCACATTTGCTGTATTAATCTAACTAACTAATCTGTCCATCTAACACACTGTTTCCTGAGGGGCTGTGCTAAGAAGTTCCTTTTCTGTGTTGCTGTGCAGTCCTACTGCTACAGGTACCGCTGTGCAGCCCGGAGCCAGAACACCCCCGACAGCTCCGCGTCCAACCTGGGCTTCCGCTGCGCCGGGGCCGCGCCGGGGCCGCGCTGAGCCCCGCTCCCGGGGCACGGCTGCCAGGGAGGGCTGGCTGCCACCCCGGGGAGCAAACGTGAGCAGCAGTGCCCCTTGCTGATGGCACGCAATGGAAAAACCTTGCTGCGAGTTCCTGCTGAGGGAGGAAAAACCAGCATGAGAAAAACCACGCTCTCGAGAGCGCTTGGAGAGCCTTTGTGTTCATGAGCAATCTGGCCTGGGTGTTTTGGATTCAGCTGGAACAAAACTGAGCAGAAACATGCCAATCATGGTTTCAAAGATTACTTAATCCCAGAATTAGGCTGGAAAAAACCTCCAGAATTCTTTAGTTCAGCCCTTGACTGATCACCACCCTGTCAACTACAACAGCTCCTCTTTAGAGAGGATCTTTATGAATTAATTTTATTTATTTAATCATGGTTTCAAAGGTTACTTAATCCCAGAATTAGGCTGGAAAAAACCTCCAGAATTCTTTAGTTCAGCCCTTGACTGATCACCACCCTGTCAACTACAACAGCTCCTCTTTAGAGAGGATCTTTATGAATTAGTTTTATTTATGTAGAGCTTCTACACTCAAATGCAATAAGCAAAGACTTTATAAACTTCTAGACAGCTTTAAAAGAAATTCTAGGCAGTTAGGAAATTCTAGGCAGCTTTGAGAGACAATGAAGGAGTGAAGAATGAGGGCTGGGAGATGACAGCTCTCCCCACAGGCAGCTTGCCCTTTGTTACATTCCACTTGCAGTGAAAATCATGTCCAGAAATGGGCTTCTCCTGGGGAGATATTTGCTGCTCTTTAGGAAGTGCCTTCTGCAGCTGACAGAGATGATCCTCAGGGTGATGATCATTAGAAATCTTGTACATATTTGAATAAAATATCAAGCATTTGTTTATACCAAAGACTTTTATTGATGGAAAAACACAATTTCCTTTGAATTGCTTGGTCATAGTGTAGGCTTATTTTAGGGACTTGGAAAATGCAGTACTGGCCTCATTAGAAACTGAAGCTAATGAATGATTCCACTTGAATAAAAGACATGGAAGTGATGGCAGATGGAACTGTGAGCCCTAAGACCTAACAGGGTAAATTTCTAAACTGTTTTGTTGAAAATAAAATTCCTTACTGAAAAGAAGAGGAATTTTAGCAGGTGAGAAGGGAAACGGGAGCAATTGAAAACAACCTCATTTTGGGATCTGAATGTGATGGTGGATTAACAAAAGCCCTGCCATGATGCTGGTCCTTGCCAGCGTTGTCTTTGCTGTAGAAAATTGGGTTTGAGTTTAAAGCAAATCCATCACCTGGCAGCTCCTGCAGTGGTTTCATGTTGAAACGATGACCCAGGAGAATGCCTGGGCAGCCCTTCACCAAACACCAGCCTCCAGGGGGGTCCAGGTAAGCCCAGCAAGCAGAAAAATTATCCCAGGACACAGCATGGCATGGCACAATACTGAGATATTGACAATCATTATTGCACTCAGAGAAGAGAGGAGGAGGGAGGATGAAAGGAAGCTCAGAGCCTTTGGAGCTGTTTGACTGGAATCATTGTGGACGAGCACACTGAGCTGTGAGGGGCAGGCTGGGGCTCTGAAGCTGAAAGGACTCGAAGGAGAAGGTGAGCAGAAATTCAGCAGATACAACAAGGCATCTATTTTTTTTTCCTAGGTTCTTGACAGGGAATTTTTTTTGTAAGATTTTGGTGCACTCCCCCAGGCAGCTGCAGTGCCGAGGCATGGTGGAGTACAGTGCTGTATGGAAAAGGGCCATTAACAACTGTCAGGATGGTTTAGAACTCAATTAACAATAATTTTGTTTGTGCAAGGCCCTCAGTGTGGCTGTTTGGAGCAGTCCAGCACTGTTCCTGTTCTGAGCTGGAAGTTTGCTCCAAGCAGATAACTGGGATCAGGTCACTCCCAGGAGCTGCAGCGCTGGCGTGGGCTGAGGGCTCACATTGCAGGGACAGAGGGCTCAGCTGTGCTCCTGCTCTAGGGCTGAGATCAAGGACCAGATACTGCTCAAGGTGGTTGGATTTTATTTAATCTGCACTTCCTTAACTACTCAGAACCATGCCAAGTGCAAACTCATAACAGGAAGGTAACAAAGTGTGCTGTCATCCTGAAAGCGAGGAGTGCAGATGCTGTAATGCTCATCTTGAAACTTTTCTCAGGAGGGAAAGAGGAACTGGATTGGATCATCTGCTCCCAGCCCTGTGGCCTGAAAGTGGCTGGCATGATGCCTTTCAGGGAGAAAACCAGACAAAACTCTTCTGCCCGAGAGGTCTTGCAGTCCAGGCTGCCCTGGAATCCTGTGCACTCCAAGGTATGGGATCCAGGGAGTTTCCTTCCTGTAACAAGGACTGAAGTTAAAGTCTACTCAGCCTGTGAACTACTTCTGACAGCAGCTGAAATCCTTTGGAAGGTTCTGCACTGACAGAATGACCCTTAATGACTAATCCTAAGAGAAATCACCTGGTAATGTTTGTCTTAACATAAACCCACAGCTGTGTCTGAACCCCAGCAGCAGCAGGAAGGCACTTACATGGGAGAGGTTAACACTGCATCTTTCAAGGAAGCAAACATAAACACCAAGTAGGATTTTGTTTAGTAAATAGCTAAATGTCCTTTATCCCTGGTCAGTATCAGGTTAATCAGATGGTTTGGGTTGGAAGGGACCTTAAAGCTCATCTCGTTCCAACCCCCCTCTCCAGAGCAGGGGACCTTCAGCTCATGCAGAGCTGTAGCCTTGAATTATTCTGATTGTATTTCAACAGGAAAGTGGATCTCCCAAATACTAAATATCATTACTGCTCCTGGAGAGCAGACAGGATTACAGAGAGCTCCCAGTTTTTAGCTGTTTGCCTGGATTCCTCGTGAAGGAGCATACTGAGCTGGGAGTGACAGCTCAGTCCTTCAGTGGCACCAGTCTTGGAGGCCCAAATCAAAGTTGGCTGTAATTTAAAAATGAAGTTACTGATCACCTGCAGAACAGCTGATCCCCATGAGAGGTACTCCCTTGTGTGTGTTATGTCAAAGGGTATGGAAACAGGTGAGGATCCAACTGTCCAGAGTGAATAATTGAGGGTTTGTGCTGCTGACGGCACAGAGTGACACCAATGAAAAACTGCATTGCAGTTTGTCCATCTTAAGTATCAAAACCAGCCTAGGTGAAGCTATCTTAACTTGATCTTTGCAGAAAGGAAGTGGAGGAAGATGCAGTTAGAGAATGTGCCCAGGTGGCAGTGCAGGCCTGGGGGAAGGAGGTGCTCAGAAAAGCCCTGCACAGCTGTTAGAGGCAGACAGGGATGATGCAAAGTTGGAATGACCTTCTCCCTGTGCTGGGAAAGGCCAGGCCTTCTTAATGCTGCCTGGCCCTGGAGTAGTGAAAACATGGATCAGCTAGCAGCTGAAAGAACCCTCGTGCATCTGTCAGCTGTTCAGCACAAAACACAAATGTGTTGCTGTTCAGATGCACTTCTGCATTTCTCCTTTCAGTCAGCTGTCAGCACCATCCTGCTGCAAGCTGCAGGGGCTGCATTTGCTTCCTGAGCAGGTTCTGAGTGCTGGGAGTAACAGATGTGCTGCTTGTTGGGATTGCAGAGGTCTGATGGAGCAGCCTCGAGGCTGAGGTGATGAGAAAAGAGGGGATGTGGTGCTCCTCAGAGACTGCTGTCCTGCACCACTTCAGCAAAGCTAAATGGGAGTGAAGCAGCCAGTCAGTCAGAGCTGCTTTGGGCATGGCACTGCAACTGGAGAAGGGACACACCAAGTACTAAAGCTATGCTTTCCTTTTTATATCCATAATTAGTAGTTACTATGCTTTGTGGAACAAAAAAACCCCAGCAAATAATTTAAAAACAATAATTTAATGGATTTTAAGAACCCAATACCCTTCTTGCAACAGTCATGGTTCATGGTGTTATTTTCTTGTGCCACTGTCAGTGACTTTCCTTGCTTTTATCACATCCTGTCCATGTACAAGTGCCAAAGGTACAAATTCTTTCTGAAGGGTACAAACTGAGAGAGCTGCTTTAACATACAGCAAGCTGTCAGAGGAAAACCAGACAGAAACACCAGGCCTGGCTTAGTCACTGATTTTGGAACATCTTAAACCTCCAATAATCCTTTGTAGTATCCACCTTGAAAAGGTTTTTCCATAAAATTAGTTGTCAAAACCATGTCTCTCTGCTGCTCCTCAAACCCCACATGCTTCCTTGTTGGAACAGAATGAGTTTAACTGCTGGAGAAAACAGTATTTTTAGGTGTGTTGAAGGCTGAAAGGCTATGGAGAACTCGCTGGTGTGGAGAAGAGGGAGCTGTCCCAAGGCAAGAAGGAAGCACACGTGCGGGAGCCACAGTAGCAAGGTTTCCTCAGGCTGTTCCCTTCCTCCAGAGGTTTGTCTTCTCTGCTGGCTCCTGGGAAATTATAGCATCTTCCGGAGTAATCATATGAAAGTTCCTCTCCAGCAGAAATATCAACAGCTGCAAAAAGCGCCAGTTTGGGCACCATGGAGTCCACCCTGACCGGCACCATGAAGAGGTTGGGCTCGCACGAGTGGTTCAGGAACCTGCCCACGTTCCCCACGCGCGTGGGGTCCACGAAGGTCTCCATCACCCTGCCGTCGTGCAGGTGCTCCCTCACGGCAATGATGTAGTTTGGCTCCTGGGGGCCCTGGGCCTGGATTCTCCTGCGAGCCTCGGCAGAGCCCAGCACCTCCCCAGCGTACTCGCAGACGAAGCTGCCCCTGGGGATGGGCTGCAGCGCGCGCACGCCCCAGCCCTTGCTGCGCGTGCGGAACACCTGCAGCCGCAGCCGCAGCCCCCGCTGCACCAGCCGGTTGTGGCAGCCCTCCCCGCAGCAGCACAGGCTGTTGCACT